TTCCACCTAAGTGCTCGGGGGGGGGGGGGTCGTGTCTTGCATAAAAGCTGACTAGCTTCAGTACTACCTTACCTCGAGGTGCTTCTGCGGCTTAGTGTCCCCGTGGCCCAGTCATCGACCAGGACTCCTGGTTGCTGCACTAGTCAACCAGGCTGTTGGACGCGGCTGCTCGCAGCCTGATGTATGAATCACAGCCTGGTTGATCAGGTATCCTTTGGCAGTGCTTATCCAGTTCTCTGACACTGCGAGGTGTCAGCCAGTTATGCCCCTTATGTGTAGTGGAAGCGTGTTTAACAGTCTCGGGCCTCTGATGTTGATAGAGTTCTCTCTCAGAGTACCTGTTGCACCTCTGCTTTTCAACAGGGGTATTCTGCATATCCTGCCATGCCTTCTGGTCTCTTGTGATATTACCGTGTGCAAATTTGGGACCAGCCTCTATTTTCTATATGTAAATTATTATGCATCTCTCCTGCCTGCACTCAAGGGAATACAAATTTAGGCTCTTAGTGGGTCCTAGTAGTTTAATGTTTTACCGAGTGGATTCTAGCAGTAAAGGATCTCTGCACACTAGGTCAGCAATTCCCCAGCTTTGAAAGGGGCTGTCAGTGTGCAACAGTACTCCACTCTAGAAAGCACTAGCATTTTGAAAAGTACTATCAGTATAGCATCTCTAGTGTGATGCTATACTGGCTCCAGACTTCTGTACTCCAGAAGTGCTCCAGAATTGTACTGGCTCCAGACTTCCTGTGATTTCAGTAGAAATCCAGTTTTAAGAATTTTAAGTCAGTGATGGTAATGTACATTAGTAAAGTATGTAGCTGGCAATGCCTTTGTCATGGCCTTGCAGCCCCAGTGGATTTTCTCAATCATATCTCTGGCCCATTGAAAAACCCGATGTAAATCAGGTCTTTCAGCCTTTCGAGCCATGGTCCAACATTACCGTGTCCAGTTAGTATAATAATCATCCACATTGGTAGACCTGACACGTTGGCCATATTAACCTCAAAATTGCAGCCACCCATTATCCCACTATGGGTGTAGCCCATAGTAATGGGCTACACCCATTATGTAGCCCATTAACATTAATTTGCAAATTACAACGCTGTCAAATGCTAGCTACTGTACTCTCCATTTCATGTATGACCATTGTGAAACTGATGGCCAGCCAGAGTTGGTTTGAGCTGGTATTTAGCCGTTCTAGTACTATACCAATATCCAAAGTAATCCAATAATGTTGCTTTATTTACCTCTGCTTAATTATTATTCAGACCAAAGTAATTATGCTCTGGTGCACAACAGAACCACGAGGCTCTTTTATAGACGTTATCATGAGATGATTTCGGGACTTAGTGTCCCCACGGCCCAGTCCTCGACCAGGCTTCCTTTTTTGTTACACCCCCATAGAAAGCAGCCTGTAGCAGCTGTAACTCTCAGGTACCTATTTACTGCTAGGTAACAGGGGCATCACTGAAAAACTGCCCATTTGTTTCTGCCTCCAGCAGATTACAGAATCAACTAGGAATGAAAACACCCTGGACCTGATACTGTATTCACAAACAATGATGAGCTAATCGGAAACATTATGGTCTCGGACACTACGTACTCTGACCACAAGCTCATTGAAGTGCAAACATTAATAACAGTAGTAGGCCCAATAGAAGGGGGCCTTTGAGGAAAGCCAGAAAGAGGTCCAATGTAGAAAGAACGCAGAAGACATTACAAAAGGAGGAAGACAATGGAAATGCTTAAGCAGACATGACTTTCCATACAAAGAAGGAATAATTTAAAGAGATTGAAGAAATCTAACAGACTGAAGCATTCATAATCAGACTGAAGAATGGCAACTGGAACAGAAAGCAATTAAAGAAAAAAACACATTTCTTCACATATGCTAAATCAAAAGCAAAAACCACTGCCAGTATTGCACCTATTCGTATTAGTGAAGGTTCATACACCGAGGATGACAAATTAGCGAAATCCTGAAAAAGCAATATGAGGACATGTTTAGCACTTCAATAAACATGAAAGTGGAAGATCGGGACAACTTTATGCATGATATACGCCTGTAAATATAACCGATATCAACACGAGCATAATAGATTTTGAAACAAATTGACAATATGCCCATACACTCGGCCCCGGGTCCAGACTCGTGGAATTCAATATTCAGAGAAATGCAAAGTGCCAGTATCACAGGCACTATGTATAGTGTGGAGGAAGAGTTTGGACACGGGATACACCAGATGCGCTTAAAGCAGCAGAGACAGCCCCTCTACACAAGGGAGGGAGCAGAGCATTGGCAAAGAATTACAGACCAGTTGAACTAACATCCCACATAATAAAAGTATTTGAGAGTGATCAGGAGTCGGGTCACTAGATTCATGGAAACAAATTACCTCCACAATCCAGGCCAACATGGATTTAGAGCGGGAAGATCCTCTCACAGATACCTGACCATTACGACAATCACTGAGGCATTAGAAGAAAAACAGAATGCAGATGTTGTATACACATACTTTGCAAAGGCATTCGACAAATGTGACCATGGAGTGATAGCACACAAAATGAGGTCAATGGGTACAACTGGTAAAGTAGTACGCTGGATACTCAATTTCCTGTCGAACAGAACACTAACAAAATAAAATCGAGTCCAAGCTCGGTTAAAAGCTCTGTACCTCAAGGTACAGTCCTTGCACCACTGCTGTTCCTTATTCTCATATCAGATAGACAAAAATACAAGTCACAGCTTCGTGTCATTCTTTGCAGAAGATACAAAAATTAGCATGAAAATTACCTCTGCTGAAGACATTGAAAAACTACAAACAGATTAAAGTTTTCGATTGGGCAGCAGAAAATAACCTGATGTTTAAGTTTAAGTACAAAAGTACAAAACGCAATCGAATCTCCCCATAGTAAGAAAGCAGCATGTCAAGGATTTGGGAATAATGATGTCCGACAATCTAACGTTTAGGGAGCATAACCAAGCAAATATTGCGTCAGCCAGAAAAATGATAGGATGGATTACGAGAACCTTCAGATCCAGAGATCCCATCACAATGGTGGTACTCTCCAAATCACTTGTGTTGTCCCATCTTGAGTACTGCTCAGTACTCACTTCCCCCTTTAGAGCACCGAGCTTGCTGAAAGAGGGAATACAGAGAACATATACGGCACGCATAGACGAGATAAAGCACCTAAATTATTGGGATCATCTCGAAGCTCTCCAAAATGTACTCGCTAGAAAGGAGACTAGAGAGATACCAAATAATACACATGGAAAATACTAGAGGGACAGGTCCCAAATCTACACAGTAAAACAACAACGTACTGGAGTGACCGATATGGAAGAAAATGAAAAATAGAACCAGTGAAGAGCAGGTGCGCTATAGGCACAATCAGAGAACACTGTACAAACATCAGAGGGCTGTGGTTGGCCTAGCGACTAAGAAATATTGCCGGAACTGTGGACACTAAGAGAAAACTAGACTTTTCTCCAAAGAGTACCAGACCAACTGGGCTGTGATGGGTATGTGGGCCACTCCAAGCAACAGCCTGGTGGACCAAACTCAAGTCAAGCCTGGCCCAGAAGAACTCCCAGAACCCCATCAACCAGGTAACCCAGGTACTGGGGATCAAGCCTGGAACCTCAGGACTATGAATCCGAAGCACTGTCCACTCAGCTGTCAGGCCCGTATTCCTTTGACAGAAGCCCCTTATAGGAGAGCGTCTTCAGCACAATCAAATGTAATACCAGTAATACAAGACATTTTCATGAAGGATGGCTTTTTATGTAAGTTGACAAAATATTAGATGCTAAAAACTTTACTAATTTGGCACGCTATCTTGTGAAGCATCCGGGGATCAACGGCACTGCAGCCTGGTCTCCGACTAAGCCTCCTGGTTGCTGAACTGGTCAACCAGGCTGTTGGATACAGCTGCTCACAGCCTGACTTATGAATCAGCCTGGTTGATCAGGTATTGCAACGAAACTGACACCAGTTATGCGACATTCTTTACCTCTTATTTACCTGTTATTTTACCTTTATTTACCTTTACCTGTCAACTGCTATTATAACATTAAAAATTTCTTTTTGAAGAGATCTCGGTTCATCTCATTCTTGAAGAGATCTCGGATATCAACTCTTTTCAATATTGTTATCTTGAGGTTATCTTGAGATGATTTCGGGGCTTTAGTGTCCCCGCGGCCCAGTCCTCGACCAGGCCTCCACCCCCAGGAAGCAGCCCGTGACAGCTGACTAACACCCAGGTACCTATTTTACTGCTAGGTAACAGGGGCATAGGGTGACAAACTCTGCCCATTGTTTCTCGCCGGCACCTAGGATCGAACCCAGGACCACAGGATCACAAGTCCAGTGTGCTGTCCGCTCGGCCGACCGGCTACCAGCTAATGAAGCTAGTGTTGTAGGCTAATGAAAACATGAAATGTGTCACACAAGCCAGCAGGGAAATGTGTTAGGCTCCCAGTGGGAAAAAACCTACTGTACAGTACCGTTTGTTGCAAGCTGTGCACAATAAAGACTGGCAAATTAAGTACTATACTTTGACATTAACCCATAATTTGAATGTAAAGCCCCAATTCATTTTATGCCAATAAAAAAATAATCAAAGTTCTTGGTAAAAGGGAGAGGGAGGGGAGGGAATTAAAGAACAAATGTGTTGCGTAGGTAGGCAAACTAGAACTAAAGAGGGCATTTAAAGTAACTGACCGTTTAAAAAACTGTCAGTGGTCATTTAAAATTCATGGACAAAAATCTGGTCAAAATGTCAAATACTGTATTAAGTTGGATGGTTGTGTTCAGGGTTAAGTAAAGAAATAAATGCACACATCTCCACTGAAATAGGCCGGTAGGTTAGTGGAAGTTGACCAAAGTGAGTAAAAAGTGATCAAGTTCAATTATACAGGATTAGTTAGACTTCATCTAAAGTTAATACATTTTACATAATCCCAGCACCACTCTCCATGGTCAAATATTGCATACCTGCCCGGGGCCCGTTGGTACTTCCATTAGGCTTTGTCCCTGGCCCGTCTGAGAAGATGGTGCTACGTTGGTGGTCTCTCACTTTGCGAGTTGGTGTATCCATCACTGGATCTTCCCCGAAGAGGCGGTTCTGAGTATCTAATTTTTTAGCAGAAGTTGGAGTAGTAGCACACTCTGAGGACCTACCACTGTTTGAGCCAACAGGAGACCCATTGGTAACAGACCCATTAGTGGCAGCTGATGGGTTATTTTCCTTTGTGGCAGCAGCATCATTCACACTTTCTGGAGTGGCCGTACCATTTGTCTCTGCTTTGGGAGACTTTTCCTGTGGAGCTTGCTGCTGGGCAAGATTCTTGGGCCTATTGTCTTCATCTTCTCCGAAGGAGATGGATGATCCACCACCAGGCGGCTTCAGCACCCTGTGGATAAATTTGATTTCCTTAAATTGGTAATTAACAAATTCCTAAATTATCAGTTTAAAAACAAATTGACAAAATATATATACACATATATAAAACTTCCACACTTGCCTAACGGTCAAGTTTTCTGGTCCAACTTCATTGTTTAAGTGCGTCTCCCCACCAGGAGGATGATTAACTCTGCAAGGTGTTATGGGTTATGCCATGATCAGACAGTCAAGGGTGACTCCTATAAACACATCCTAATACCATCCCTGTAGTAGGCTACATTCACATTACCCTGACAGCAATCTTGTCTCATCCGTTCAAACGAGTGGCATTTTAGACAAATACAGTAGGGGGGGTATTGAATTTAATAAAGACCATTTTTTTAGCACATCTGCTGTACAGTTTTCATAATTCAGATACAATCTGAATCAAATAACCCTGGAACCTTTTTTTAATACTAATCAACAAAGTTCCCTTTAAAGTCAACTTGACAAATAAAAGCACTCTTCCGTATCTCTCCTCGCTCCACTACCACAAGTTTCCAGCCAACGCCCATCTTGTCTATAACCTCAACCCACGTATTTCTGACAAACACTTACACTCTTAAATTATGGATGAAGACAAAAAACACAGACCAGCATTCAACACTGGTATCACTGTCTGGGCCACAACACCTGCTCAGGCCCAGCATGACCATGTTGGGCGGGCGAGGGGGCGCTCAAGGCTCCCATGCCAACTATCGCGCTACTCTTCGTTTCTACTCCAACGATGGCAACCTTGCCTGCTAGTCTCAAGTATGAGCAGCTCTGCATCTCTAGTTAGATGGGTAAAATCTGATTTACCAGGAACAAATTTACTTCTAAAACGCACGTCATCTTCGCCGCCTCCTGCAGCAACATTTATGCAGAGTTTTCCCTGCTATCACTACTGATGATGATTAATGAACTGTTCACTTTAGACAGTTAAGCCCCAGCTGTGTTTGGATAAAGGTGAGGCTATGAACAACCCAATTCCAGACGAGGGTAGGGGGGGGGGGGGTTTGAACATGATATGGCAGTATATTCACTCAGGATGAATGGCGCTGCCCAATAATTCGCCCCTCCTAGTCAAAATTATAATGAAGGCTAAACTTACTTTATATCCAGACATTTTGTCTACAAAAGGCATTGTTAATTAAATGCATTTTCACTAAGTTATTAGCCCATTCATGCTATACATTCCCAGGACACCAACTATAGGGCATTGGGTACCCAGAATGGCGGCCGTGTTAACTGCCATTTCACAAGCTATTAGTCATAATTTTTCCAAGAACGGCAGTGTAGTAACGGTTTATTATCGCAGGCAGTGCCACCACCCCCGTCTCACCGCGCCCCCCTCCACAACTTTATACATTTAAATTTATGTCTGCACATGGCTGTGGCCTAATTAGTTCGAAATACAAGCCAGTTTAAAAGATTTTTAAGCCTACCATCACGATACGGAACACTAACAACCGTCTTTAACAATATTACAGCCAAGGTAACCACTACGGCCTTCCCTGCAGCCTGGCGACCAGCCGCCGAGAGCAGAGTGCACCTGTTGACTCCCAGGACAGACTACGTGCTAGTTAACATGGAGGTGATGTAAACCATCACCAACAGCGAACGACGCAGTCTTGCCAGTCTGACTAACCAATTCCTCTCCAATTGGACTAACTAGGCATGTGAATGTTTCAATACAAGCGTCATTTGGGTTAATATTGAAGTGCAATAGAACACGTTCTCGGAAGCATAAAAGCATTATCAGTTTATTTCAGCGGAAACCATATTAGAAAAACTACCAAGTAGAGAACCGTTAACTACCTGACCATGGCGACAACTAAACACCGGTATTAGTCAATCTTTAACTAACTACACTAGTTTATTTCCAGAACTTAAGTATTCGAGTTTCAAACGGCAATCAATCCACAAAGCCTGTGACACTTTCAACCGCAAAGTTGCACAGATAATATTTAAATCTCCAGACTACTGGGAGTCTTCCCGAAAGGTCTAGAAGGAGGGTTTAGAGGTATGAAAGTCGGCACACGTCCGCACGCTGGTCGGCCCGACCTCAAACTGATCCCCCGCGCCTACCGCGAGTTGGCAACCCGCGCCGCCGTCACCACCCGGTGTATACCGTTACCGCTCCCTGGTATGCTTCCCAAGATGCTTTCTAGGTTGAGGTGACTATGGAACCTTTAGAGACGTAGCCCTTCACCCCTGAGAGGCAGGTGGTGGCAGTGGTAGAGGGTAGAGCACGTAGGAAGGTGGCGCTAGAGAGGGGGCACTAGGCTGGGCTGAGTCACACACACAATAGCGTCTTCACCCCAGCAGCTCCGATAATCGCGCACTCATACATTCCCCGCTTTACTCAACTGCGCCTCCCACTCTAGAAGGGCGTGCCATCATGCTGTACACGCCGTACTACAAACACGGCCGCTGCCACCCACTTTCACTACTACACATTTCAATTAACATCTTGCAGACACCCTTCCCCCGGGCTCATGTTCCAAATCTAGATTAAGTTATAGATTATATAATGTTTAAGTATTATAATGTAGTATTAAGTATTATAATGTAGTATTTAGTATTATAATGTATTATAATGTTACTTGCATTTGTTTAATAATTATTTACTCCTTATCTGGTGGGTTAACCCTTATCTTTACGATACACTAAACACACTTACTATTTTCATGGAACGCTATTTCATAGCGTACCATAGCATCTAGGGAACAAATTTACAGATTAAAGTGTCAGGCTACAGAAAGTAGCCTAGTGTTCCGAACAACATTAAAATATTTTGCTAGTCAATCACCACGCAGTTATTTAGTTGGTAACTGTTTTTAAGATACCTGAACAATATTTATTAAGCATCGTCCACACTTGCTAGATTAAGTTAACATTTACTTGGGTGCCATGTATTAGGTTAAGCGATACAGCAAGTGCCTTGGGGAGGCCCACCCACCCAAGGTTGTGAGTGGGCAGGAGTGCCAGTGGGCAGACTGTGGGTCATTGGGTCGACGCTGGTGCCCTGGTGCCGGGGCAACGCCCACCGCCCCGGCCTCACCTTGGGACCTCACTCTTCACACGCTCTCGTTACAACATACTGGTTAAACCGGTTTGTTTCTAATCATGAGGTTGCTGTCAGTCCTAATGCTTACATCACGGTGTCCAGGACACATTCCACACGCGAACATTCCTCGACACGCTCTTGCTAATTTAGTGTCAAAGCAGTGATTGGTGCTTTAAAGAACATCTTGAGTTGATTTCGGAGCTTTTTTAGTGTCCCCGCGGCCCGGTCCTTGACCAGGCCTCCACCCCCAGGAAGCAGCCCGTGACAGCTGACTAACTCCCAGGTACCCATTTACTGCTAGATAACAGGGGCATAGGGTGAAAGAAACTCTGCCCATCGTTTCTCGCTGGCGCCCGGGATCGAACCCGGAACCACAGGATCACAAGTCCAGTGTGCTGTCCGCTCGGCCGACCAGCTCCAAACATAAGAACAAAGGCAACTGCAGAAGGCCTATTGGCCCATACGAGGCAGCTCCTATCTATAACCACCCAATCCCACTCGTATACATGTCCAACCCACGCTTGAAACAATCGAGGGACCCCACCTCCACCGCATTACGCGGTAATTGGTTCCACAAATCAACAACCCTCTTACCGAACCAGTATTTACCCAAGTCTTTCCTAAATCTAAATTTATCCAATTTATACCCATTGTTTCGGGTTCTGTCTTGTGTTGATACTTTGAATACCCTATTAATATCCTCTTTGTTATGTCCATTCACCCACTTGTAAACCTCTATCATGTCACCCCTAACTTCGCCTTTCCAGTGAATGCAATTTAAGCTTTGTTAATCTTTCTTCATATGAAAGATTTCTAATTTGGGGAATTAACTTAGTCATCCTACGCTGGACACGTTCAAGTGAATTTATATCCCTTCTATAGTACGGCGACCAAAACTGAACTGCATAATCTAAATGGGGCCTAACTAGAGCAAGATATAGCTGAAGAACCACACCATAAGAACAAAGGTAACTGCAGAAGGCCTATTGGCCCATACGAGGCAGCTCCTATTCTATAACCACCCAATCCCACTCATATACTTGTCCAACCCGTGCTTGAAACAATCGAGGGACCCCACCTCCACAATGTTACGCGGCAATTGGTTCCACAAATCAACAACCCTGTTACTGAACCAGTATTTACCCAAGTCTTTCCTAAATCTAAACTTATCCAATTTATATCCATTGTTTCGTGTTCTGTCCTGTGTTGATACTTTTAATACCCTATTAATATCCCCCCGGTTATGTCCATTCATCCACTTGTAAACCTCTATCATGTCACCCCTAACTCTTCGCCTTTCCAGTGAATGCAACTTAAGCTTTGTTAATCTTTCTTCATATGAAAGATTTCTAATTTGGGGAATTAACTTAGTCATCCTACGCTGGACACGTTCAAGTGAATTTATATCCATTCTATAATATGGCGACCAAAACTGAACTGCATAATCTAAATGGGGCCTAACTAGAGCAAGATATAGCTTGAGAACCACACCAGGTGTCTTGTTACTAACGCTGCGATTAATAAATCCAAGTGTCCGATTTGCCTTATTACGAACATTTATGCATTGATCCTTTTGTTTTAAATTCTTACTAATCATAACTCCCAGATCCCTTTCGCAATCCGACTTCGCAATCACAACACCATCTAGCTCGTATCTTGTAACTCTATCATCATTACCTAACCTCAGAACTTTACATTTATCAGCATTAAACTGCATCTGCCAATCCTTTGACCATTTCAAAACCCTATCTAGATCAACTTGAAGTGATAGTGAGTCCTCCTCCGAATTAATTTCCCTACCGATTTTCGTATCATCGGCAAATTTGCAAATGTTGCTACTCAAACCTGAATCTAAATCATTTATATATATTATAAACAACAGAGGTCCCAGGACAGAGCCTTGAGGCACTCCACTTACAACATTTTCCCACTCTGACTTGATTCCATTTATACTAACTCTCTGTTTCCTTTGGTATAGCCATGCCCTAATCCAGCTTAATATAGCACCCCCAATACCATGAGACTCTTTTTTTAATCAGTCTTTCATGTGGCACTGTATCAAAAGCTTTGCTAAAGTCAAGGTATACAACATCGCAATCCTTACCACTATCAACTGCCTCAACAATGCTAGAATAAAAAGATAACAAATTTGTTAAACATGAACGGCCATTTATAAAACCATGTTGCGACTCAATTATTAATTTATGTTTTTCAAGATGAAGACGAATTTTATTTGCTATTATAGATTCGAGTAACTTTCCCACAATAGACGTTAGGCTAATTGGTCGATAGTTAGACGCAAGTGATCTATCTCCTTTCTTAAAAACTGGTATCACATTAGCAACTTTCCAAAACTCTGGCACTCTGCCTGACTCTATTGATTTATTAAATATGGTTGACAGTGGGTCACAAAGCTCCTCTTTGCATTCTTTAAGCACCCTGGCAAACACTTCATCCGGCCCTGGGGATTTGTTTGGTTTGAGTTTTACTATTTGTTTAAGAACATCCTCCCTGGTAACTGCTAAACTCGTCAACCTGTCCTCGTCCCCACCCACGTAGACTTGTTCGGCTGAAGGCATATTGTTAAGTTCCTCTTTAGTAAATACAGATACAAAATATTTATTAAAAATACTACTCATCTCTTCATCACTATCTGTTATTTGACCTGTCTCAGTTTTTAATGGACCTATCCTTTCCCTAGTCTTAGTACGATATAACTGAAAAAACCCTTTAGGATTTGTCTTTGCTTGCCCTGCTATGCGAACTTCATAGTTTCTTTTTGCTTTCCTTATCTCTTTTTTAACATTTCTAACCAGTTGTACGAATTCCTGTTCTAAAGTGACCTCCCCATTTTTAATCCTTTTGTACCAAGCTCTCTTTTTACCTATAAGGTTCTTCAAATTCTTTGTTATCCACTTTGGGTCATTAGTATACGATCTATTCAATTTGTATGGTATACTACGTTCCTGTGCTTTGTTTAGAATATTCTTAAATAAGTTATATATTGAATCCACATCGAAATCCCCATTTAAGTCACCTATCGCTGGGTTCATGTCTCGCTCCAAGACCGGCCCACACCCCATACCCAAGCCTTTCCAATCAATTTGACCCAAAAAATTTCTTAGGCTATTAAAATCAGCTTTTCGAAAATCTGGCACTTTAACAGAATTTTCTCCTACTGGTCTATTCCATTCTATGCTAAATCTGATTTCTTTGTGATCACTGCTCCCTAGCTCACTCCCTATTTCGATGTCATTAATTTGCGTTTCCCTGTTAGTTAACACTAAATCTAAAATATTATTTTCCCGTGTTGGTTCCTTAATGTGTTGCGTAAGAAAGCAATCGTCAATTAATTCTAGAAAATCTTCTGCTTCACTATTCCCTGTTTTGTTCAACCAGTTTATTCCGCTAAAATTAAAGTCACCCATGACATAAATACTGTTAGATCTAGATGCTCTAGATATTTCATCCCATAGATGCTTTGCTTCCATTCTGTCTAAATTTGGTGGCCTATATATTACTCCTATTATAATATTATTAGCTTTTTCGTTTAATTCAATCCAAATAGTTTCTGTGTGTGGCTCTGTTTTGATTCCCTCTTTGAGACTACATTTCAAATTATCCCTAACATATATGGCTACTCCACCTCCTCGTCTAATATATCTATCTGTGTGAAATAGTTTAAATCCATATATTTGATATTCAGCTAATAGTTCTCTATTTTCTACATTCATCCACGTTTCGGTAAGTGCAATAATATCTATTTTTTCTGTGCAGACAAGAGCATTTAATTCGTTAACCGGAGCTCCTGAGTGTTGTTATATTATCATAGCAATATGGAAGTTGTAGTTAAGGACCTGGTGACTCTAGTGGGAGCCCTGAGGACAGAGTTGGACTCTCTGCGGGAGGAGGTGCGTCAGCTTAAAAAACAACGAGAAGTAACGAAGGAGGAGACCAGCAGTAAAGGGATCTCGTCTTGGAGAGTTGCGAAAGACAGGGGCCTTAAGAAGACTT